AAATTCATATTTGGCATCTTAATCCACTGTATTACTGCATCACCAGCGATACAAACCACAAAATTTAGCTTAAATGGGGCTGCGGCAAGGATCTGGTGAATGCCTTATTTTCTGAGAATTCACTCAAATCAGCTTGATTGGCATGAAGTTTGAGACGCACAGCAGGGCGCCTCGTACCTCCCTTCACCCCTCCTCAGTGATTCACTAAGACCGGACTGGAAAATTAATGAAGCTTTTTGGTGGCAGCTCATGATACCAATACAACAGTGAGCTAGCTTTCTTTCGGATTAATCCCACAAAGCTTTCCAGAAATCTCCGGTATTTTGCTGGATAAAATTGCTCACAGTAGGGTGATTCAACATTCAAAATAAACAATCTACGCACCAGGCAGTACTAAAATTGTGGAAGCAAGGCAGCCAGTACTTATGTTTTGAGCGCCTTCTACACTTTTAGCTTTTTGTTTAATCAGTTTTCGGCCCGAGTTTGGCTGTGCTTGGCCCTGTTCCCGACTCTTCAAGCCAGTACTATGGAAAACACTCATTGCCATCGCGGCTAGCTTTTACCGACAGATTGTTATTTCGATCGAACGTAGCCATTGGCAGCCGGCACACGCACTTATTGTTTTGTGGTAAAAAGCACGACCAGTCCAGTCGCGGAAATCTCGAGATCTTTCGCCAAATTTATGCCGATGTGACTGGAATGCAGCATTGAAATTACTGCCAGTAACGTACAAAAAAGTTATTTTTTTTCAGTCCATGAGCTAGGTGAGCCGAAAAAATTCGTTTTTTCCCCTAAGTTTCAGCTGAAAATGGACATCTGATAGCCCAGATTGCGAGACCATCCCCCTACCCGAAAAACTTGAAGGTGTGTCTCTGTCAGGTTGAAAGGAAATTGTTACGGAATGTTTGGGTTCTGCGGATAAAACTAATTTCCTGTTTGCGCAATTCATATCTTTTTTTTTACAACAGTTATTATTTGTTTTCAGGGTCCAATAACTTATCGATGGTTTCTGCTACTGGAGAAAATGAAAGGGAATCCACGTTTGCTACCGCTAAAGCGAATGATTGTCGATCAGGCTAGTAGTGGTTGCGTACCATACTAGTGCTTCCCTTGTCCCGGTTTAAAAAAAAAACGAAGATGGTATCCGGGGCGATGTGAGCAAACAGTTACAGCAGTGACTTAACCAGCATCCAGAAAAGACGTTCATAGATCCATCTCTTTTTTCTGTCTTCATCTGTTTTACGGACAGTTTGTTGCTTTATTCTAGCCTTCCTAGATCCATCTTTCCACTTTCCCTTTCAATCAAATGAATCTCTCGGCTAATCCCAGCAAACTTTAGTTTCGATTCGTAGACTAAGCATAATACGCTGACAATTTTGGCGTTTCATGTAGAGTGCTAAGGTTTCCCCTATTTCCAAGAGAGGATCGCTTTCAGAGTTGTGGGGCGCCGATATTCACATTCACTTTTATAACGAATTTGCATATGCTGGAGGGAAAACGTCCTCGAGAAGCGTTGCATAAAGCGAGCAACGAGATTGTTCCTGTTATGAAAACAAATTACAAAGTGAGTGGCATTTTGTGTAACCACAAATTCTTTCCCGTTTTTGCCAAAAAAAAAAGAAATGATTTTAAAATTAATGCGGAATGCGTCACATTTAAAATTAATTGTTCAAAATTGATCGTTTAGAAAAATTAGCGAGTTAAATATTAATCTTACGCAAAATATGCTTTAGCTTCATATTTCTATGCAATTTGCATGTAGTGGATGACTTCACTGCACAGCTTACTTTAAATATTTTGAATTTAAATTAAGTAGTCTTCTTTTACGCAGCAGATGAGATAGGACTGATAGGTGGACCCAGGAATATACTGTCCCAACAAATATTGGGCAAAGCGAGCAATCTCCCATTTCCAGCAATTTTTTCTCCTACGAAAAGTGCAAAGTGTTCATTCATTTCGTTGATTGATCGACTCATTCACTCATCTACTCACTCATTTATTTTCATTTACTTATTTTGTACGTTCAATCACCGATTTACTCGCACACAGGTATGGCCATTCGCGCAACTCTTCAATTTTTAC